CACAGTTTGAATAAATATGTAATTTTGTTTTTTCAATACCACGTTTAAACGAAGCAGATGAAAGGAACTTACTTAAGTATAAAGTTTGCTTCCTGGCGAAAAGAGAGAAACCGATTAAAATTTTAGAAAGTGAACCTCAAATTAAAAGTAATATTAAAATATAATGTTTAGAGTTCTTTGACTATTTAAACACTGAAAGTGGAAATGATCTTATTATTGCTATTAAAAAATTTCATATATATAAAATAATTTATTGGCTCCTGTGATGATATTCTAAAGGTATTTCATACTACATGTTAATGTGTATACTCATATTAAAAAGAATAACATTTTTATTTTTTGTGAACAACATTTCATTTATATACCAAGATATTATTAAAAATAAGTACTCTGGCGTTTTAAAGTATTATCTGCTAGTGACATTCATAATTCTGCTTGGAATATAAGTGTACTGAAAAGTACTGATTTTTATAGCATAAAAAAGTCGAATGTACTGATTTCGCGCCAAAAAAATCTGGCAACCCTATCATTTAGTCAAGTTATTTTCATTTTAAGTTTTCATTGCGAATGAAAAAAATTCACACTTTAACATGGTCATACGGTCATGTACGATATAGCGTATGAGTAACATTATTTCCTGCTAGTATTCAAAAAATTATGGCACTCTCACTTAACTCTTGCAAACTTGTTTATTTATAAATCGATTTTCATCATTAGTAGTATTTTAAGCCGCAAAACAAGCAGATATTGGCTAGTCTATACTAATATATATTTTGAAAGCCGTTTTTTTCTGTTCGCAAAGCTCGAGAAAGGCCGTACCGATTTTTTTTAAATTTCGGAATCTACTACAGACTTTCCAAGGATGGTTCCCATACAAACCGAATTTTTCAAACTGCATATATTTGTGGTAGAGGACTAGAACTGGGTATGGGGATATATACATATATAAGATCAATTCCCTACTCATGGTGAAAAATTTGCATGGTTGGAGAATGGGGCGTGGCACCTCCCATATAAACCGAACTTTTCATATTGCATATCTCTGGAAGTGTTCATGGTAGCCTTTTTAAAACTCTTTAGTTTGACACCCACATGTCAACGTTTCACTTACTTTATCAATTTAACTGAGTTACAATTTCCAAATAAGTGGCAGCCCCCCTCAAAAATATTTCCAACAGTTATCTTTCTTAAACCTCTTTAATTTGATACCCATATTGTAATATTTTATTTATTTTATCAATGTAATTTAGTTAAATTTTCAAACAGATTGCAACCCTCCTCAAACACATTTTCGGCAGTAAGCCTTCTTAAAACCCTTTGGTTTGACACCCACATGACAATATTTCATTTATTTTATCAATTTGACTGAGTTAAAATTTTCAAATAGGTGGCAACCCTCATCAAAAATACTGCTAACAGTTATTTTTCTTAAACCTCTTTAACTTGATACCCATATTGTAATAATTCATTAATTGTATCAATATAATTGGGTTTAAAAATTTTAAAATAGGTGGCAACCCTCCAAATTTTTGCGATATCATTGGTTCTGGTATTATACCGAATAATAAAAAAAAAATTATTCAAATCGGTTCAGCCGTTCTCGGGTTTTGATGACCGTGACATACGAACACAACATTTTTATATATATAGATATACACAGAAGATGTCCANCGATATAATTGGTTCTGGTATTATACCGAATAATATAAAAAAAAAATTATTCAAATCGGTTCAGCCGCTCTCGAGTTTTGATGACCGTATCATACGAACACAACATTTTTATATATATAGATATACATAGAAGATNGGCAGTAAGCCTTCTTAAAACCCTTTGGTTTGACACCCACATGACAATATTTCATTTATTTTATCAATTTGACTGAGTTAAAATTTTCAAATAGGTGGCAACCCTCATCAAAAATACTGCTAACAGTTATTTTTCTTAAACCTCTTTAACTTGATACCCATATTGTAATAATTCATTAATTGTATCAATATAATTGAGTTTAAAAATTTTAAAATAGGTGGCAACCCTCCAAATTTTTGCGATATAATTGGTTCTGGTATTATACCGAATAATATAAAAAAAAAATTATTCAAATCGGTTCAGCCGCTCTCGAGTTTTGATGACCGTATCATACGAACACAACATTTTTATATATATAGATATACACAGAAGATGTCCAATGTGTGCTTTCGATTTTATTCTTTGACCACAACAAAAATTCCACGTTGTACATTCGTGAATGAACTTTCAGTTTCTCTATTACTTTTACAATTCCTTTGAGTAATTGAAAAAACTAAAGTACTCTTGCAATTCCAGGTAATGGAATTGAAAAAAAAAATCAATTACGTTTTCAAGTCCCTTCAAAGGAATTGGAAAAAAAATTACATTACTAGCACGTAATTTATTCCAATTACAATATGAAATTCCTTGTAATGGAATTAAAAAAGAAAAAACAATTACATTTGAAATTACTTCAAGGAATTGAGAAAGTAATCTATTCCTTTGCTGTGGATTGAAGGAATTGATTCCTAATTACAATTCCTTGTAATCTGTAATTGGGAGTAATTTAATTCCTAAAGGAATCATTACGACCCAGCTCTGACGCCTCTGCATGAACCCCTATGAATTTTTATTGCGATAGTCGCTTAGAGACTAAAATAGTCGAGTATCGAAGGTTTGTGTAGACTTGTGTACGAAGGGCCTTAAGCCGTAGCAGACCTTATCAAGCCCCTTTCTTGTTTATTTAGATTCCAGTACATATCCGGCCGGATACTAGCTAAAATCCGGACGGATTTCCGGATTTCTATTAAAAATCTAGTTCAGAAATTTATTTATTTTTGTATTTTTATAATCCAATTTAATATTAGCTACCATTAGTAGTTAAAGTAAACAATTTTAATATTTTTAATTAGGATAAGAACCATCTCCGATTTATCGGTCAAAAATATATTTCTATGCGATGTGGCTTACCACGATTTCTTAACCATTGCCAAATATCCTGGTGAGCTCCCTCTTCAAAAGAAGCTTTACCCAGTTTTTGGCTGTATTGATGTCGAGTTTTGAAACATGGGTCACAAAATATCACAACAAGGGGACGATACGGGAAGCGGACGATATGTAAGCATGCATATTAGTACGATTTTCATCACATTTTTTAATAAAAATACATCAACCACGCGTTTTTGCTTATCGGAATTCAGTGTTTTTCATTTTTTGTCTTTGACGTTCCTCCTATATTTACCAAGAATTACACAGGCATGCAATATTTAAATTTTGTTTCCCCCTTCCAATAATTATGTTATTTTTTGGTTTTTTTCTAGAACGTCGAGATTTTTTTTTTATTGGTGACATATATATTTTCGGATTTTTAACAATTTGCATGAAAAGCCAAAAATTAATTAATTTTGAATAAAGAGACTAGTTAAATCAGAAAAACTTAAGTAATTTCGAAGTTAACGCTAGTAATGCGCCTTAACGCTAAGAAAATAACTTTTATCAATTTTCTTAGCGTTAGTTTCGAAATAACATACGTTTTTCTAATTTACTTAGTCTATTTATTGGTATTTTTAACTTATACTGTTGAATTTTAAGTAAAAATTCAATTTTAAATTTATTAATTTTTGGCTTTTTCATTACCAATAAAAAACAAGTAAGAAAGTCAAAGTTCGGGCGGAGCCGAACATTAAATACCCGGCGCAAGTATTAAATATATGTTTTTTCACCTTTCCGAAAGCTACCGCTAGATGGTAAGCCGGGGTGTATCAATTTTGAGTAAATTAGCGTCCTTAAATTTCGAAATATTGAAGTTTCAAGCATTTCTGAAATTTACCGTTATATGAAAAGCGGTCGTAATTTTAGTCCGATTTAAATAATTAACGTTTTGCTTTTATGTGGCAAGCAAAATAAAAATACCGAGTTTGGTACAAATTGGTAGAACGGTTACCGATATTCATATATGTGATCATAAGTGGGCGGTGCCACGCCCATTTTCCAAAATAAATTAGCTTTAATATTTACTGATTTATCGAAGATTTTGTATTTCTCTAAATTGCCGTTATATGGGATGTGGGCGTGGTTATTGTGCATTTATGTATAAATTTGTCTATATCTATCTCGATTCGTTTTGGCTGTTACATACAACCGTTATGTGAACAAAATTAATATATCCTTGTGCACAAGTGCCCTGGGGCATAAAAATCTCGATGTGCTAGAAAAAGCCAAATATGTATTTAAATTTAACACACTGAGATATTCAAAAATAAAAAAATTTAAAATTCGCAGGCCTGTGTAATCTATAAATCAGGGTTGCAGGCGGAAGTCATATTTTTAATACAGGATTATTTTAAAACTTGGATTCCAAATGAGAAATTTTGTAATCTTAATTACGTATTGTAACAATAATGCGAAATTTACAAAGGGCAGCAGTCTACCGGATATCCGATCGGATATTCGAATCCGGCTCTTTACATGGTATCCGGAATCCGGTTATCCGGAAAAATCTCTATTACAAGACTGGTGCCAAACGAAAAGTGTTTGAGATAGCTTTTCTGATTTTTTCTTTTTGAATAGGTGCCTTCTAACAAAAATTATACCTAGTTGTTTATAAATTAATGAGCAGCTCCTAAACCATTAATCTGGTAGTTTGTTTACATAGATGATGGCAAACTTAATAACCTCACTAATTTAAGAAGAAATTTAAAATTTTGTTGGCAATGTGGTTACCCAAAAGAAATTTGTATTGATTGGGAGCACTTCAGATCTCAAAAAGACGAAATGTGGCTATATCTCAAAAACTTGTTGCGTTTCCAACAACAAAACACCTACTAGATTGCAACGTAGCAACTTTACACCTAAAATGTTACAAATAGTGCAGTCCCCAGTTATTTCCACTTGGTTACGATTTATGTAAAAACTATTTCAAATAATTTCTTTTATTTACGCATGGATTTTTAAATAATATTATAATAGCACGAAAATTTCCTGAATTTTTCAGAGGCGGTGAATTTTCGTTCTTCATCACCGATGACATCCGTAACATCCGCTTCGATCACACCCGTGGAGAGAACTCGGACGTTTCGAAATAAACACCACCACGAACATCATTGGGGACCATTTTTTGAAGAACCCCCCAATTCGACAGCGGCAGGCGAAAATTCTATCTCAGCGCACCTATTCACAGAGGCTGCACTGAACTGTCGAGTGGGAATGCTAAAGGATAAAACTGTAAGTTACTTAAAGTACTGTTACCTTATCTATCTTTTTTGTCCGATCAGTTCAAATTTATTTTATTTTATGTTTGTAGGCTAGTCTGATCTTTTCAGTTCTTGTGCGAATAAAACTACTTTATTCCACTTTTCACCCGACGTTTCGCTAAAACTTTTTTAGCATCCTCAGGGGTAGTGTTTATTTTATCTGTTACAACAAATATACAAAAATACAAAAAAACACACACATTAAGTATTAACCGAAAAAACAAGAATGTATACATATATAACAACAAATTGAATTTAATGACAAACCAACTTACATCGTTTAGATATTCAAACATAGATATGTATATGTATAAATACTTAATCACTAAAAAAAGAAAATATATCCATACCACTTGATGTGGTAGTTTAG